GTAATAGTACATAGTAATAGTACAGTTTGTTTCATAAATCTTAGCTAGGTGGTGTGCAGTACTCAAAAGGGACTTTAGAAGTTATAAACAGTATTTTCTTTGGCAATTTTTCATGACAATGAAACTTTTGAAAAAGATTTATAATGACTATAATTAAAATCTCTTAAACTTTGATTTTATAACAATATTCTTGTATTTTGTTTCTTGATTACCTTAGATAATCAGGAACTACTCTATACATCTAACTCTTGATTTACACAATGGATTGACTCTGTGTGTAAAATAGAAATCATTTAAATCTCTATTAACATTTCTAAGGAAAATGGACAGATAAGTAAACAAATTTGAAAAAATTAAGATTTGATTGTCTTATTTCAAGAAAGTCCATTTTGAAGTTTGTTTTTTATTTCTATTTAATTTTTTTAATAAATTTTTTGATATCAAATTATATTACTCGCATACATCGTGATTAGGGATTGCAATTGCTGGATCAAGCGCATTCTTCGGCCTGCTGGATCCAGCACTACGGATCCGCAAATACTCAATTAGCTTTCTAAATAACGGTGCAAAAGTCTACGTTGTCGGTGTTACCGTGTTTCTACGTGCACTATCGTTCGGCGGCGAGAGTGATGTTGCCATTCAGTACGGTACGTGCTACACCCCCTCTACACTGCACTGCCTGCTGTTTTACCTCTGCTGATCTAATTGCCAGTTGACTTTCTGCTCTCGCTAAATAAAATAAGTAACTCCTCTCCTAGTCCTGGTGCATAATTCTAGTTTACAGTCGGTTCTGACGTCAGTGAATCACGTTACGGAACGATCTCAGTTTAAGCCTATGGAGAGCTGCAGCCTTGCGGCTTGTCCACAAAACCTAACCTATAAACTGGCCATAAAAGCTCTCTGGAGAAGAGAGTCGAGTTTGATAACTGCTGACACAACCCTGAAATTTGTCTTAGACAAACTAAAAAGCCAGGACACAATCTTGAGTGCCGACTTTTTTGAGGCACTCCACAGAAGAATCAGAGAACGGCATCTTATTGAGGTCACAGGGATGCTGATTTACATACAGAACCTGAAGAAGTATGATTAAAAAGTTAAAAAGACCGATTATTCTTTCACAATACCGAAAAAAAATGTAATGCGCTAGGAGATGAAAAATATGCTGAATTGAGTAAATACAGTACATATGTAGTGGAACCAGCAGTAATGGCAGAGGATATTATGGAAGTGGAAAACGATGATACAGATAACCTGCATTCCCTGAATTTCACATTGAAACAAGAATCGGAGACCCAACTAAAGCATGAGAAAGAAAACTCCATGAAATGGAAAGAAACTAGTACTGAGAAGGATTATGATAAGTTATTAAAAAAGGAAATGGCTGTTTATGAATGTGAGGGAGTCAGAGGTGAAAACGTATCTTTGATTTATGATTATTTGATGACCCTGAAACCAACTAGCATAGAGGCAGAAAGAGCCTTCTCTGCAGCTGGATATATATGCAGTTCATTAAGAAGTAGATTGGGAGACAACACCGTCAATACCATTTGTTTCTTGAGATCCTACTTCCAGAAAAGTAAAAAAAAATAACAGAAGTGAGTGATTTAATTTTATTTAATCCTTTAAAATACTTTATTCAAGACAAGACTAATATTTTATAACTTCTACTCTAATTCTATTAAGTAAGAGCTTTTAACTTTTATTCTATAAGTGGTTAGTGGGCTAGGCTAGGCAATTTTATTGTTAAAATTAGCTAGAAACCGAGACTACCTAGTTTGTTAAATAGTTAATTAAATTAATGAGTATCAGTATCTTAGATATATGATGATATGAATGTATATGATTTCATGATTGTAATAATAACTAACTAACTACTAGACTACTACTATTTATTTACTCACTACTTTACTAACACTAATATATAAGAAAACTGGTAAGACTGATAGCCACTTAGCCACTGATTATCCGTCCTTACATTATTATAATATAATATATTAATATAAATTAATTAGTAGAATTACCTTTGCTATTATTTAACTTAATGATTACATTATAATTATAATCTAACTAAACATTTAAAGTTAATTATCTCTATCGCAAGTGTTAAACCGAACCAAAGTTTAGTTTACTACCTAAATGTGTAAGAAGTTTTACTGATTTACGGTATAGAGACCAGTCTAAATAATAAAAGTTTCTTAAGTATTTAAAAAAAATGTTTTATTTCTTTAAAAAAAAAAACCATAAATTACTGGATAGATTGATAGATAACACTTTATTGCACCAAAAATACATCTGCGCTGGATCCACGCTGGATCCAGCTGGAATGTTGATCCAGCAAAATTCCAGCTGGATTGAAAACACTGCTGGATTGCAATCCCTAATCGTGATATAGTACAAAATAGAAAATTTCATCACAGAAAACACGTAAGTTGAAATAAACACAATGTGATTCAATGTTATAATGTCTACATTATATATACATTATATAATTAACACAAGCCTAAACATTAATTTTGTTAATAAAAATATTTTAAAATGAGCATTTTCAAGTATTTTATTTTAAAATTCCATGTTAAACTGAAAATCCATTACATTAAACTAAAATTGTGCAGTTTGAGTATCATGCAAATTGAAAATTGGAGATAAAAATTTACAATTTGGTTTAAGAAGAAAATGTTTATTTTATCTTATACTAGCTAGAAAAATTAATATAATTCATAACTGCTGAATTTTATTTCGTGCATTAAGCATTTAATTTTATGCTATAATCCAAAATTTTGTATTAACTAGAAGGTCTACTAAAAAAATATTACTTGTATGTATTGGTGGAAAATGCAACTCAAAAACTATGAAACTACAGTACTTTGGAAATAAAAATTAATAAGTTTTGTTTTTTTAGTCATCTTATAAAAAGCTTTTTTAATAAAATATCGTAATAGCTTCCAAATGTTTCTGGGAAAGTTAAGCAACTCGTTATTGGATTTTCTAATCTACAAGAGAATTCGTTCGATTTGCATTCAATAATGCAAATATGAAAATAGAATGAATTGCAAGTAGTTTGTTGATTCACTTATTCAGACATTATAAACATTTTTATACTCTCCAAGTTAATTTAATGGAATTTAATTAATAAGTAAAACTAGAAGAATGCTTGTTGCTTACAATGTCTATATTTAAAACTAGCTGTTACCCGCAACTTCGCCCGCGGAGGTTTTGCAAGCAAACCCCATTTATATTCAGTATTTCAACAACCGTAGTAATTGTTATATAACACCTACCGCTGAGAATGATGAGAATTGTCGAGAATCAAACAAACTATTTTCAATTTGATCAATTTTCTGGAATGTTTACAATCGTTCTATAATCGAACCAATATGCAATAACAAGTTCGAATTTATAACAATGTCTGACATGTTATCAATTTAATACATCTAAGTACTCAATGAAAATTAAACGTAGTTGAAAACGAAAAATCGCATCTAAAATAGTAGAGTAAAAGCTGTTTTCTGGTTAAGCCTTAATGCTCTCTCTCTCCCCCCGCGGGGGAATTACGAAAAATCCCTTCTTAGTGTGCATTCTCATGGCGTACCCTACTAAAATGCAGACAAAAACAAAATATCGCATCTAAAATAGTACAGTAGAAGTTGTTCTTCCGGTTAAGCCTTAATCCTTTCCCTCTTCCCTCCACCTAGGAATTTCCCATGGCATACCCTACTAAAATGCAGACAAAAACAAAATATCGCATCTAAAATAGTACAGTAGACGTTGTTCTTCGGTTAAGCCTTAATCCTTTCCCTCTTCCCTCCACCTAGGAACTTCCCATGGCATATCCTACTAAAATGCAGACAAAAACAAAATATCGCATCTAAAATAGTACGGTAGAAGCTGTTCTTCCGGTTAAGCCTTAATCCTTTCCCTCTTCCCTCCACCTAGGAATTTCCCATGGCATACCCTACTAAAATGCAGACAAAAACAAAATATCGCATCTAAAATAGTACAGTAGACGTTGTTCTTCGGTTAAGCCTTAATCCTTTCCCTCTTCCCTCCACCTAGGAACTTCCCATGGCATATCCTACTAAAATGCAGACAAAAACAAAATATCGCATCTAAAATAGTACGGTAGAAGCTGTTCTTCCGGTTAAGCCTTAATCCTCTCCCTCTCCCCACTGCCTAGGAATTTCGAAAAATCCCTTCTTAGTGCGCGTTTTCATGACGTACCCTCTGTACCAAATTTCACCTCTTTAGGTTCAGCAGTTTGCTCTGGGCGATGACGAATCAGTCATTCAGTCAGTCAGTCAGGACAAGTAATTTTATATATTTAGATTTATGCACTTACTTTGATTCGGCTACAATTCCAAATTGTAGATTATAAATGCCCACTGTTGTCTGTCTGTCTTTCCATAATTTTGAGAATGGAGTTAGATAGATAAAATTTGAGACCAGATATGGAATCCTTAGGAGCAGGAGGCCCCAATTAATTATATACAAACTTCCAGTTTCAACTTAAAGTTGCATGATTTTAATTTAAAAATTTTCCCCTGAAAGGAGTTAGTTAGATGACCAGCACAACTTTATTGCTAGCAGGAAAGTATGATTTACAGGGGAAAGCCATTAATTTTGGGTGGAGTGCATATATTTTAAATTAAATAAATTAAAACTGTGATTAAAAATTGCAGCCTGGCATTGTAATAATGTCACTATAAATAGCTTTTAGTTGTAGTATATTTTTTGTGAACTAAAATGTGTACTGTAAATGAATTGAAATAATTCAATAAAGTTTCTTAAAAATAATAAGAATGATTTAGTTCATTCTAATTTATTAAATATAATTAAGTAAAAAAATTTTTAGTCTTAAATTAATATTTTGCAATTTAAAATACTAAAGTACACTATGTAAATATGCAAAATTTCTGTAAAAATTTTATATATTTTATCATTGGTTCTTTTTATCTCACTGTTTAATTCTTCTAGTTAGACTAATAAAAACTTAATATTTTCAGGATATATGTGGTGCTCAAGAACGATCCTTTCAAGTGAAAAGGCCTAATTCTCCTATACGTCAATATACAGTAAAAGTAAGAATTTTTTTATTAAACAAGCATTGCTGGTTGAAATATTTTAAAATTTAATTCAAATTAATTTAAATCTGAGATAGATTTAAATACAGTATTTTCAAAATTTATTAAGTTTAATTGTTAATTTTATTTCAGTATTTTATAATCATCAGTAATTCATAACATATAATATGTATTTATGAGTTTTAATTAAAATTAATTAAATAAATAATGTTCATATTATTATATTCACATTAATTATAAAGAAATATAAGAATATATCTTACTATAGACTTCTCTTATTATTGCTTCCTTTCTCTGAAGATAGGAGATGAATGTTTAGTAGCACCATTAGTTCTTTTTCATCCAGAATTATTTGGTTTAACTGGACCAAAATGCACTAGAACCCAGCAACGATATGAAGGAGATGCAGAAGATCCACATGATGGGAATTATTTGGTACAGACTCAGGTAAGTACAATAAGATGAAAATGACAACAAATATTTGAAAAAAATTAAGAGACCATGCTATTTTTAGAGAAGAGGCAATAGAGAGGCAACTGATGGAGCACAAGCATTAGATCTAAGTTCACAAATAGAAGACTGTCCACTTAGTCAGGCAGTTCTTGATGAAGATGTAGAACAGACAGAGCCACCACCTACTAAAGATGTTGAGCAAGAAATTCAGTGTGATCAACTTCTTGGTATTGATCAGGCTATTATTCAAAGCATTGAAAGATGTGGTAAATATAATTTATATTAATGTTATTGCTTTAAACATTTAAATAATTAATGTTTAAAAATTTTTTATACTAAAATGGCACTGAAAATAATAAAGACTCGGAAGAAATGAAGAGGAAGATGTACAGTTGTATACTAGTAGTTGGTGGTGGAATGCTGTTTTCTGGTATTCATACTTGGTTACAGAATCGACTTTCAGTGCAGATTCCAATCATCTATCGTGGAGAAGAAATAGACATTATAACTAGACCCAAAGTATTAATTTTTTTCATTTAATTCTAGAGAAATTTGATAAAACTCTTTAATGTATCAAACTACTTAAACACTGTCAAATTCTCTTGTTAATAATTTGTAAACAAAATTAAATTTTAACTTTAACTTTTATTTTTATAGGATATGGATCCACGTGTTACAACTTGGAAAGGTGCAGCAGTGATGAGCTGTTTAGATACTGCCCAAGAATTGTGGATTCATCAACAAGAATGGTTACGATATGGTGTTAGATTGTTAAGAGAAAGAGCACCATTTACATGGTGATTAATTCTTTATAATAGATTATTATTTATTGTGACTTTTTTAATTAAAATATAAAAAATTTTAACTTGTCTGCTCATTTAATGTATAACTTAAGAATTTTTAGTCTTACTTTTTCTAAATATCAAACAAAGTAAATATGTTTTATATATATTTCTATTCTGGTAATAAATATAAATTATAATAAACTGTATAGCTAAGTTATAATTCATATACAGTGTGTGTATGTATACATATGATGACATAATCTCTGATACTCTATCGCAGGGGTGGCCAACAGCTTTTGCCCCCAGACCGAATTGGAAAGAAAACTTTTTTCGTGGGCCGAACCAGAGGCTGCCCTAGGAAGATTTTGAGGTGGTGCGAGATCTCATTGTGGTGTCACCCCGTAGAGACTAAATTGTACTGTACATAGAGATTACAGATACATTTTTCACATTATCATGCTTTATCAACATTCTATGCTGTACTTAAGAGATTTGTAATGGAGGGTTAACTCTAAATGCACAGTGAGTTGTTAACCCCCTTTTTTTTTTTTTTTTCAGAATTTTTCATTTAGCTAATTGGACTTCAGTAGCTAATATTGAAAGATTAATTGCGGGGCCGCATAAAAATTCATTAGACGGGCCGTATGTTGGCCATGCCTGGTCTATGGCATTCTAATCCTGCCATTACTCAATGCTTCATAATGCTCTTTGCATATGTCCTGCCCCACTGAGTTTCAATGGGACAGGTGTTATCTGTATATTTTATCATCAGATAAGCTAATTTTTAAAATTTAGTGATTGATTTTCAGTAAGACATAAGTATAAACAAGCTTGGTCAAGCCAGTCTGATAGCACACTCCACAAAAGTGAATCAAATATTAATCTTGTTTAAAATAAATTTTATAAATTCTTGGAATCAAGTAGTTGTTGCACATGCGCATGGACATGCACAATAAATGGATTGAACGGAATATAACACATGGATAATGAAAGTGAAATCATTGCGCATGTGCGTGGAAATCTGACAGACAGACGTCTGACCAACAGACAAAAGTCCTAACATAAGCACTTCACTGTTATAGTGGAGCATGCTAAAAAGCATTTAGTGAGAACATGTAATTGGTGAATTATCAAATCATATTTCAGGAAACCCCCAATAATGGTCAATATAGGTAGACTTGAATCAATTATTTCAGGGTGGACAGACAGATGCACATGATTTTAAGGTGGGTTTGTGTCCATCCTTGTGCCATCTGTGCTGTCTCTTATGTAGGTATTTTATTTAACATTCTGAATATGGAGCATTAATTTTATTTCATGACAGCATGAATGATAACAGTCATACTTTTGTATTAAGAAATTTATTTCTATTTATTCATAAATTAGTATATAGAGAAAAAAAAGTAAATTGAAAACTAGATTTTTCTATGTACTGTAGCTGCAATTAACAACACTGAACATTTTTTATTGAAAAAAATTCAAAATTTTATCTAAAATCTTTTCATACTAATTTTTAAAATCTAGTTTTATGATATTTATATTATAATATTAATTATAACATACACTTTCAATATGAAAAATTGGAAGTGAATGAAACTTGGCATCATATTTAAGGAAGAGAAAATCTTATAAAAGAAGGTTGAACACTTTGCATAATATTGTAAATGGCGTTGTAACTAGACATTCCTGTGTCCTGTGCCCTGTGCAAGAATTTGCAATTAGGCCCCTTAATTAATTAGATTTTGAAAATACAGTAGAACCTCGGTTATCCGTCCTAATTGGGGACTCGGGTTGGTCGGATAATTGAAAAGTCGGATAACCGAAAAGTATGAAAAAATCCATTATTAGTGTAGTATATTATTATATCCCATGTAATTAGTATATTAGTATATCGCTATTAACCTATTTTGCGTTGAATTTTCATCGATGTTAAGCCTAACAAAAATTTTTTAAAATAATAATCGTCGCTATTGTATCGTTAAAAATTAGAAAATTAAGCTTCGTTTAAATACTGGCTCCCTTTCATGGTCGAATGAGTGTTGCCAGCTAAAACACGTAAAAATAATATTAAAGTAGCCAAGACATAGCCAAATATTGTAGCGCCACATCACTAGCGGACATTTGAAATTTGCCGACTAGGACGGTCGGTTGATCAGGGGGCGGATAATCGAGGTTCTACTGTAATAAAACAAATACATGCATTTTGGGCCCCCTTCCTGTTACACCTGCCTAGTTATGACACTGATTGTAAAGATATGTTGTGACTTTCTGGTATTGTGACAGACGTGAAGACTTCAGATATGTCTTGACAAGTCACTTAATTACAAGTGTTTATTAATTATGCATTCAGGTTTTTTTTTATTCATAATTTGTATTTATTATGGCAAGTCTGTAGCTGCAGGGAGCATTTCGGAGTCCAGTGGAATATTATCCTATGAGCAAAAAGGACAATTGCCTGGGACTCCCAAACTAATCTTTTATAAGAAAATATTTCCCAAAAAAATTCCTCTGAAAAAATTATCAGAAGTCATCACTTTACACGGGGTCCCCTGATTCAAATTGGCCTGGGCCCCATGAAGCTGTAAGTGCCACTGTTGGACCCTTGCCATTTAGAAATTATTGTGCCGCCTCAAATATTTTCTAGGGCTTATATCAGTCTATAAAGCAGTGTTTCTCAACAGGGGCGATATCGCCCCCATGTGGGCGTTTTTCCATGTTGAAGGGGCGATTAGTAACAATTTATATTTTGGGGGGCGAAAAACAATTTTCTGGGCGATATAGTAAAACATTATATTAAAAATAATTAAATATTTTATTTGTTATATCGTACAATAATTAAACAAATAACATTATACTAGTAACTGGTTCATTCAATGCAGTACGAATTTGGCGTTAGCCTTGTCCCTCGGCATCGGAATTTTGTAGTGAAGGGGGTGATACTACGTAACGGTTTTATTGAAGGGGCGACGATTCGTTAGAGGTTGAGAAACACTGCTATAAAGAATGTAACCAAATTTTATTTGTTTATTTAAATTAAACTTAAAAATCTCGTCTTTTTTCACTTTACACGATGCCGACTATAATGTACTGTACAGTACAGCAATGACATTTGATGATAGGGAAGCTGTGTTTCTATAAGAGGCCGACTTCCAGGGGCAATCAGTTAATTCTTTTTTTTATAGATTATTTATCTGACGTACTTAATAAACAAACAAGTTCAATATAATTACCTCTGTTATTAGATCCAATATATTCCATATGCCCTCTAAATGCCAATTCTTGCTTTGATAAAAACATATAACATCTATTTATTTAGATATAATATATCTATTAACCGTAACTATCTCGTTATAATTTTCAATATTTATTTTATATTATTTTCTAATGTTAAATTCTATTCCGCTTCGATTTCAAAATTGCTTCAAATACGAAACAATCGACGATTTTTCGTGTCTTTTGCAAGTTAAATTGTCAAAGCCATTTTTATTCCACACACTAATTTCATTTGAAAATAGTAGGCAGGCCAACAAAACAATTTTTGCATTTTTATGCATTTACAGAGCCATTTTATCGTGAAAATGTCGAACAAATTTTTTATTGAAGTGTTTATATTTAACTTAGGCATTGGCCTTTCTCTTTTAATAATGTTTTCTTTTTCATTAGGCCTATATGGTCTCGAGCCAAAATTTTTTTGAAATAAATTTTCAATATCGCGATTACATTCCGAATCGCTAGCCACGATATAAGGGCTAAAATTAAAAATAAAATTATAAAATCTTACTCGGTGAAATAAAATGTGTGGTGGATATACATACCTGGTACAAAATATTCTTCAATTGTATGAATATAGTTTAAAGAAAATTATAATTAAATATAGCTTTGTAAAGAAACGTACATAAAAATAACATAAAATATTATTTACTCTTTAAATCTTAACAACTTAGTCAAATAGCTCTCTACGAGTGGAATCAGAGGCGGTCCTGCTAGGTGTGCGGTGTGTATATGCAAGTGGGCTGCCAAATCCCGAGGGTGTCCATACCGGTCAATGTCAAATGCCTGTTTATTCGCATCACTAGTATATCTCAAAAGACGCGACAGGGTTCTTGTAAATTTTAAACGTTTCTCACCATAGCTGTAAAAGTCTAAATATATTATTTATTAAACTTAATAGATTGTCTGTCGTTTGTTTTATAACTACTGTAATTCGTTTTAGGACCAGGTGTTGTCCACGGAGATTTCCAAAATTTACAACTTTTCGGTCACTCTCGTTGAATTGGAAAAATGTCTGTCTTCATTACATCTAATATTTCGAAGAAATCAGTCCCACTGTACTTGGCTAGAGATTGGTTCGGTTAGGCTTTTGTTTAAGTAAAATTTCAGCTCTTTCATCAGGGTTTTGTTTATGTCCCCAATTCCCTAATCGCTTAATTATTTTACTACTACTTAAGTAGAAATAAGTCGAAACCAGTTACAGTAATACGTCGACTTACGCTACCCCGACTTACGCGAACCCGGAGTTACGCGATTTTCAAATCTCGTCGATTCGTTTTTTGTTTGAGCGCCACGCAACTCTTGATTACTCATTCACCGACACTGTTGTTCGCGGAATCGACATATAACTATAATTAATTTTGTGTTATTTATTTCTGTGTTTGTTATATCTACGGAGACTTGAGAGACTCTACTATGTTATCTAAACGAAGTAGAACCGATTCTTCTGCATCAAACAAGAAAAGAAAAACTATATCTTTGGAATGTAAAGTTAACATTGGGTATGTTCGTAAAGTCGAACGAGTTAAACGAGAATGACGTCATCGTTATTCTTATTTCGTTAGACTTTTCGAACGATTCGTTACTAACGCGTTTAACTCGTTTCACTTTACGAACGTACCCATTATTAAAGAGTTCGATACGAAAATGAAAATTTCTGAATTGGCAAAGAAGTTTGATTTACCGGAATCGACAGTGAGAACAATTATAAAAGGTAAAGAAAAAATTCTCGAAGCTGTGAAAAATGCTCAATCTTTAAATTCAAGCATCATTCGTAAACGTCACAGTATTATCGCTGAGATGGAAACAATGTTAAAA